TAATTACAGTTACGCCTAAATATGAAATCTTTTTGTATGAATCGGTCCAGTAATCCGGACAAATTGTTAGTGAATGTTCTTTCAAAGGAATTGATAAAATTTCTTTGATTTGTTCACGTGAAGTATCAGCAAATGATGAAACGTGCCGTGATATGGATTTTTCACCACGAAGTACTTCATTAATATCAAACATTCCATGCACAGTACCTAATAGGGACATAAATAAAATTATAAATTGCACATATTTACGGCTATTTACCCAGACGAACACATTCTTGAGCTAAATTTCTAAAACCAATATCATCTAATATACTAAAAGGCCTGATATCACCACACACCCATTTTACAGATAAATCTTTCATTTTTGTAATATCATTTTCTGTAAATTTTACCTGTTTTGTAAAACCCATTTGGTTTAATCTTGTTTGTGTTGATGGAGTTGAAGACGAAGTAAAACTAATTGATGATGATGATGATGATGTTGTTATTGTCGTATTGGATAAAGGAAAGCATTTATCTGCATGTTGTTTAAAACGTTTTGTACCACTTAAATTGTTATAAACCTGAGTGTTCATACACCTAAAGCAACTAATAAACCCAATAATTCTTTGTAATTTCTTATTCTCATCTAACTGTGCAGGATAACCAAATGCTCGCCACCATTCAGCAGCAGATGGTGATTCATTTTCCATTATCTGATACTTCGATTTTTCGTAGATTAAAAGATGCTTGATCTTCTCGGAATTGAAAGAATTTGAATTTGATGATAAATTTGATGATGATGAACTTGATGATGGTAAATTTGATGATGGTAAATTTGATAATGATGAACTTGATGATGATGAACTTGATGATGGTAAATTTGATGATGATGAATTTGATGATGATAAATTTGAATTTGATGATGATGAATTTGAATTTGATGATGACGAATTTGAATCTGTTGATGAATTTGAATCTGATGATGAATTCGAAGAAGCATCAGAACGACACAATTTAGTCATACTACATGAAGACATTATATCATTACTCAATGATGAAGTTAAAGATGATTTAAATTCTAAAAGACAAAATTCAAAAATAGAAATATGTAGTAAAACAGTAAAATTAATAGATCAAATGCACAAAGTAACTTGTTCCCTTATTATAATCAACCATTGTTCGAGATTTTTTCTCATCTTCTGTCATCTTTTTTTTGTAATTGTACTGGACTGTATTGTACCTAATAAAAAACACAATAGTTGTCGCTACTACATGCAGCGACAAAATCATATAATTAACATCAGCTCGTCATGACATCTGCTGTAGTTGTTTGTGATATCAACAATATTGACTACAAAATCTTTCTCAAACATTGTTTGCAAAAAAAAGTTGGCAGGGCAAAAAAATTTGCCCTGCCCTGCCCTATGCCCTGCCCTGGCTGCCCTGCAGGGCAAGCAGGACAGGGCTAAAAAAAAAAATTTGCCCTGCCCTACAGGGTAGGGCAGGGCAGGGCGTCAGGGCATCAGGGCAGCCCTGCCCTGTGACGGTCTCTGATAGATATTCAATCTATGTCGAAGTAAATATGTTCAATAACGACTTTGAAACATGTTTGGAAAGATTTTTCAATAATGAGAAAAAAAGTTCCATTTTTTATAATACCAAAGACTTAAAGGTAAGCTCATAGTACTTTTTATATTCCTCAAAACCTTTCATGACTTGTCTATGATTGATCCACTTCCCTCAAATCAGTTCTCTTCATCAGAATTTTAATTCGCTACTGAATGGGCAGTATTAAAGCTGAAAGGCAGAAATATTTCTTCTGAAAGAACAAAATAACTAGCTCATTTCCTATACTTTTGGCTTCAAATTGGTAAGAATACAGAAAGATAGTGACGTGAATACTTTCATTACTGCTGATTATTTCTTTATATCGTTTCTGTCTTACATCTCTTACCGCCGTGCAGCTTTTAGTAAGAACCAAACTGAACTCATCTCGGTTAGGAGTCTAATACTCTACAAACTCCCTTCATGAATTAGATGTCTGAATATCATTATAATATATGTCATCCTGTAGATTGGAAATACAAAACAACACATGAATTTCTTCTATATAAACTGCTCTTTTGTTATATGAAAAACTATTTTCTAAATACAATATGAAATTGGATATACATCATATTGCAATATCAGAAACCAACACGTGTTTCGTTGATCTGAAGGAATGTTGAAAATATTATTCGACTGCAATAATGAGTCAGTCGAATGCTGACGTTGACATTACAATAGTAGTATAATTTTGTAAGAGATTATCAGGAATTTTTTAAAGAGAGTTGATGCTACTTCAAAGCCGTTGTAGCAACTGCAGTTTTATTGATAGATGCTCTTGTCACTAGACATTAGCACATTTTTTGCTACCAAAACATAAATAATTACTATTGTTGATTTGTTTGTGTAGCTCAAGACAACTAATGGATCCTCCAAATTCAACCTACAACATCATCTTCTTATACGCCATGAAATTAATGTTGGTAATAATACATCTGTTAATAAGAAAAAAGAAAAGCCGTCTAAGGCACTTCCTATTGTAAATACAGTTCATCGTCAATCAATAGATAGTTTGATATTAAATTGTATTATTCATGGTGGACTACCATACAATCATTTTTCTCATCCATGTTTGATAAATTATTTGAAAAACTAGAACCTGGATATAGAGCTCCAGATCGTCGAACTATTCGCAAACGAATTCACAATCATGATCATGAATATATAAATGAATTGAAACAACTTCTATCTAAAGATCGACCAATAGCATTTACCACAGATATCTGAAAAAGTCCAAAAGGAGATCATTTCATATGTCTTACTGCTCATGTATTCAATGATGAATTAAAACCAGTATCTTTACTTTTATGATTTCAACGTTTGACTAACAGGAAACTTGGGGAAAACTTACATGAATTCATCACCTATGAATTAAATCGATTTGGCTTGCTCAATTGTTCACATGCTGGTATTACAACAGATAATGCCAGTGATATTAGAGCAGCTACAGAATTTGGGGATTTCAGTCCTCGATTTCCGTGCATCGCTTACATATTAAATCTCGTTATCAATCATGGTCTTTGTATTTGGGAAAGTCCTAACGAGAATCGGTAAGTAATTTTATGCTATACTTTCAAAGAATTTCGATTGAGAAGTAAATAGAGTTACCCTCATCGACAATAAAAATTAGATAGAAAAGCGCGAAATTCGCAAATTTATCTTAATGCTTGTTTTTTTTCATCCTTTCTCCTAACGAGATCAACGTATCTTAGAAAAACTTGAACGAACATGATCAGCTAAAAATCACTTTTAATCTTGAAAATGAAGAATAACGTACTATATACAGTACCTGTCTAAGTAAAATGAATCGGAATAACATTATCAAGAATCTGAGAGAATGAGGAAGACATTTTGATAGTAGGTATGATAAAATTCCAAGAAAAACTATCACACAAGATTTTCTAGTTAAGACACCAACAGCCTGTTGTTCACTATTTTGGCTCAAGTTATATTACCTTATTCTGACTAATTAAAATATCCACATGTACAGTACTTAAAAATGATAGTCTAAATGGTTTCTTGAGATAAACTATGTTGCCGAAATGCTGCTTTCTCAACTTTGGTCGAAAAAAAAGATGTTGATATGCAATAGAAGTTCCACATATATGAATATTTTTTCTTACATGACGAGAGTGGAGATCATGTCTCCTCAAAAATTCATTTGTGTTATTCATTTTGCAAGTTTTCTACATCAATACGATTTTGATCCTGTCAATAAATATTCGAAATCGTCAAATCCATTTATATAAAAAAAAATGATAGCGTTGTTACCGATTGGAAAAAATACTGTTGATAAGATTGTTCCCAGTAGATTCTAATCAGTAGAAAACCTATACTTTCACTTTTTTATTTTCAGGTATCCTTTTCAACGGTTGTACGAAATTTGCGCGCGTGACATTTGCGCGCCGACACTTGCGCGCCGACACTTGCGCGCCAACATTTTCGCGCACGACACTTGCGCACGCGACACTTGCCCGCACGACTCTTCCGCGCAGCGACACTTTCGCGCAACGACATTTTCGTGCACGACACTTACGCGCAAAATTATTTCTTTTCATGGAATAGGTCTGCCTTTGGATTTGGGTGTGATGATGGCGGAAGGTGGGTGTCACTGCGATGGGAGAGCAGTTGTTCGAGACAAACCTTGATGCATCTTCACTACCCTAGGGAAAATCTTTGATGTTTCTGTGTCTGATCCTTAACGAATTCAATCAGGATCATTGAGGGATTTGCTTTTTTTTCCCGAAGAAACGACTAAATCCTGAAAGAAGCGTGTAGTCACAGAATTTCAAGATCCTGGTCGAATTCCTAGCAGGATTCAATCAGGATCCTGAACAGATTGCGTCCGAACTGCATGAAATCTTGAAAGAATCATCTCTATTATTCGTGTAAGGCTACTAAGCAGGATCAAGTTTGAATCCTTGTAGGATCCTGCATTCATGATTTAGAAAAATATCTTGACAGGAACCTGGATAAGTGCTAAACAGGGCTCTGCCTAACCGTACGAAACCCTGGAAAAACGAATTATCAAGAACTGCGGCAGGATCTTGAATAAAACCTGACAAGATCCTTGAAATCTAGTATCCTGAAAGATTCTTCCAGGATTTCTCAATAAATGATCAGAATTGAGACTAGGGTAATACTTAACCCTCACGTCCACACACATCCTCACGCCCACACCCACACCCACACCCACACCCACACCCACAACCACACCCACACCCACACCCACACCCACACCCACACCCACATTCAGCACCTATATCCTAAGCCACATCCGTACTCATATCCAACACAGCCCGAAGTCAAGCGCACAAAAAAAAACATTTTGCGCGTAAGTGTCGCGCGCGTAAATGTCGTGCGCGAAAATGTCGTTGCGCGAAAGTGTCGGCGCGCAACTGTCACGCGCGCAAATGCCGTGCCCCGCTTTTCAACCAAACCAGTTGATTACAGAAATTTATGATGATGAACATGATTTTGTTGATGTGGTATATGATGATGAAGACGAAATTGTTGATAATGAACAAAAACATGATCAAAAGAAATCAGAAACAAAAAACAAAATAATAACAACAAGGATATCATTGTTTTACATGATGCTGATGCATCATCACTTTTACCAACAGCTGTTCCTGCTGATAAAGAATATGACGATTCTTTACCTATTTTTTCTTCATCAACCAATGATGAAAATAATCAGATTCTCAAAGCTTTACACAAAACACATGCTTTAGTTGTTCGAACACGAAAGTTGGTGAAACTTATGCGAAATGTTAGTGCTATTGATCAATATGTTCGTAATCATCAAGATGGTCCAAAAAATGGCTTTGTTATTGATATTCGTGTAAGTTTTAAGAATTTTTTTAATCTATATACAACTCATATAAGCACATTCTCAAAATTTGAAATCAACTGATTAAAATTCACGAAATTCTCACAAATTCTTTCGTTGTTTAGACAAGATGGAATAGTAGTTTTTATATTCCCTAGACTGAAAGGCTAGGGTCTAGAAACCTAAATTTTCTGTGTTTGGATCGGTGACGTCTGTGTTTGCATCGGTGACGTCTGTGTTTGCATCGGTGACGTCTGTGTTTGGATCGGTGACGCCTGTGTTTGGATCGGTGACATCTGTGTTTGGATCGGTGACGTCTGTGTTTGGATCGGTGACGTCTGTGTTTGGATCGGTGACGTCTATGTTTGCATCGGTGACATCTGTGTTTGTATCGGTGACGTCTGTGTTTGGATCGGTGACATCTGTGTTTGCATCGGTGATGTCTGTGTTTGGATCCGTGACATCCTTGTTTGAATCGGTCGCAGAGGTTGTTTGTGCATTTTGATCTGGTCTTCGAGGTAAATTTGGCCTTTTCGTGGATTTTCTAGCTACATGCTCTATTCTATTGTTTGCCATTTTTTTCTAGCTAATTTTCAAAATATCGTAAGCTTTATCTGTCTTTTAAATATCAGTCTTCCCTGATCTGATTTCAGTTTTCGTGTTTTATCGCGCTTTTTTCTTAATTTCACTTTCGAGTATCTCATCATAAATAGTTTAGT